GCAGGTTGCTTGTCGCTGATTGGTCCGATGAAATATGGCCGATCCAGCGTTTGCGTTGGGTTCCTACGATCCAGTGGATGGTCCCAAAGCACACACAGTATCCCTACAATCGGATTAGCATGTCGCTTGTTTTCCTTGCTCACTACCAGCATCTAATGTGTGCTGCGTGCTGCTGATATACCGGTAGTATACATCAATCGGGACAAGAATCCAGTCATCGTTCTCGAAATCTAGGCAATGTCGTTGTCGCCGCCTCAAAAACTCGTAACGTTACTAAAAAAATGGCTGACAGAATGCTAGCACACGCGCACACTTGACTCAAGACCGTCGGAGTCTATGTGGTCGAGTCGCCGCGCGATAGAGCACCTAAAACATCAGCGCTCGTGCTTTGTAGCTTTACGTAAACGGGAAAAATCAAGCGTAAAAAAGCGTGCACCGTCGCCTGCCGCACTAAAAGCATCGAGGACGACCCTGAATCGGAGGGCTATTGGCACGACATCAAACAGAATGGCATGCACAAGACACACATGTACAACTAGGCAAGACCCGTTGCATTCTGGATCTGGAGCGCCGCATAGTCTTCGTGGAGCTTAGGGTCGCACTCGTCGTTGGTGAGTTGCTGGCATTTGCGAAACGCAACGTCGGGGTCGAGGAGGCTGCAGTCGATGCCATGGTCTTCGAGGAGCTCGTCCTGCCACGACACCATCTTCCCGTCTTTCAGGTAAGGGGCGTTGTAGAGCATGACGCGCAGCCGCGTCTTGGTGGGACTCGCGCGCTCGAGCACATACCTAGTCGCTCCATCAGATCTAGCACGAATCTAGATCTAGCTCGAATCCAGATCGGGTCGTCGTACCAAAACATGCGTGGGCGCCAGTCGACGTTCTCAGGCAGTCGGTCGTCTTGGAAGAAATTTCCAAAGGTAAAGACGATGCGGTCGTCGGTGCTAAACTCGCGGCACACGTAGTAGTTAGTCTCGCGCTCGCTTCGCACATTACGTCGATAGAGCATTTTGTCGGGCGAGATGGCGCTGGTGAGCTAGTCCGACATTGACACATATGTTAGTCGACTGGCATCGCCCAACGATTCGCCGACAGCTTGTCCATTACCTCGGTGTCGAGAAACTCGGAAAAATAGACGCCCGTCTCGCCTTGCATCATGGACCAGATCGGCCCCTTGAGCGCGTCGTACGTCTCGAGCAGCGAAAGGTCGTACTCGACCTGGATACGCCCAACGAGGTCGAGGTGGCCATTGCCAACATCCAGGAGCACGTTGTCGACGACCGCGCCCGTCGATGGAAACTGCGCGTACGCGGCCATGCGGTCCGTGTTGTGGTAGAGGTGCTGGCTAAACCAGTCGAGGCCGAGCTTGCGCGCAGCAGGGTCGGCCAACAGCGACGTCTTGGTCCACCCAAAGGGCGTGCCGGCGAGCGGGAGGACCCGCGTGCACATGGACGCGACCCACGCCGTCATGGCTTCGCCCACGTGGCGCGTCGCATTGTACTCGCTGCGTAGCCTGTGCAGCGTGGCTTGGGCGGTAGCGTTACCACGCCGAGAGACGGCGGTGAGGAGCTGGCCGAGCTCGAGGATCTGCGCTTGGAGCATCTCTCGCTCCGAGATGTGGCGCTCGCGGTGGCGCTTCTGCTTCAGGCGGTTGCGGAGGCGCTGGTGCTCCTTCTTGGCGAGTACCAGGTCCGCCTCCGAGAGGCTACTGCTGCTGGCTGGCGACGCCATCGCGTGACGCTGCTCGAATGTTGATGCTCGCGTGGGACGAGCTGGAACTGGGTGCCAGTTTTGATTGGCTGATTTGCGAGTCTGTTTTTCTGATTGGCCCGCTCGCCTACCAAAAAGCACCCACGACGAACATTCCGCCAGCGCCTCCTGTGTGGCGGCCACCACTCGTCCATGTTGCCTGGTACTGCAGCACTGTCAGTGCACTACGGTGTTCCTGGTAAATACGTGGCATATTGAGCCTGCACGAAGAGCTCAACACTCATCTAGAATGAGAATCATTGCCGTGGCGCCAAATTGCCCTTCTGCAGTTTTGGCGCCAAGGTATCCCCACTACCGCGCATCCACACTCGACTCAGCCCAGGCTCTTGTGGTTTTGAATCCTAGATGCCACATGTTGAAATCAGAGAAGCAAGCATCGCCGGCAAGCGATGGCACGTGTGATTTGGACCGCGTCGGAAAAACCAAAACTCTCATATATACTACGGGTAGTTTGTGCTCACGAGTCGACTTGAGGATGGGTGGTCTCGACGGCCGTCACCATCGATGTGGTGACCGAGTCCAGTAGTGACAGTACGTACGGCTGGAGCGCGCGCTTGCAATACTCGAGCTGTTGGTCAGCGGCTAGTCCGCTCAAATCCATCTCTTCCTCGCCCACCTCGTCTCGCCACGGCACAATGCGGCCATCGACGAGCTGCGGGCCATTGTACCACACGACACGAAGCCGCGTGCGCGTGGACGACACTCGGTCGAGTACATACCTGCGTCATACCCATAGTCAATGTTGTCCACATAAAAAGACAATATGTCCACACGCACCAAAAGAGACGCGACCGCCATCGCGACGTGCGTGGAAGCGTCTCGTCATGACCAACGTTGCCGCAGACAAACACAATACGGTTGTGGCAGCGGAATTCGCGACTCACATAACAGGTTTGTTCGTTGAGCAAAAGAACACTGCGTCGGTACACCATTTTGGCAGCGATGGCGTTCGTCATCTACTCCATGCGATTGTCGGTACTTGGTTGATGTATACGAAGATGCGTACCTCAGTGTTGAGGAACTCGGAGACGTTGGCAGCCGTGTCGCCGCGGAGGTGCGCCCAAATCGTGTCGTGAAGAGACTCGTATGTCGCCTCGAGCGATTTCTTGAAGTCGTGCTGGTGGCATACGAGCAGCTCCAGCGACGCGCTTGTCTCCCACACACGAATCGGCTCGGCCACTGCGCTGCCATCGTGCGGGAAAGCACAAGTCTGCAGCAAGCGCTCCGTGTTGTGGTAGAGGTGCTGGCTGAACCAGTCAAGACCGACCTTTCGCCCGACCGCGTCAGCGACAAGCGTCACGCCGCGATAGCCCTCGACCTACGCGTCCAGTCAAAGCTAGCATATATCGGTAGAACGTAAACTTACCGACGAGGCGACCCAGGACGCGAGCTGGGCACAGAGCGGCTGCAGCGCCGTCGTTGGCGCCCGTGGTACCTTTGTCCGGCGCTTCTGCAGCGCCCGGAGGGCGTTGCGCAGCTGATAGACCTCGGTCTGCAGCGCAGCCCGCTCGGTGATCGACCGCTCCCGGAACCGCTTCTGCTTGAGCCGGTTGATCTGGCGCTTGTGGGTGTCGACGCCCTTCATGCTTCTGGTTTGCTCCGGTCGTGGTGCAAAGTGAATGTTGGTGGGTACTGACGTGCATTCGCATTCTTATCGCGCTCAACCCGCACCATTGCATCGGATTGGCTAAAATCATACATTTCCCATTTCACATTTCAGGAAGTTTCATGGGCCACCAAGCATTAAAAAAGCTCTGGTTTCGGCTCTTGTGTGTCTTGTACCGGTACTAGTATAGACTTTCACGTAGAAAAGGATTGACGTAGGCAGAGGCTACATGCCGACGTGTTTCAATGTATCCGACCTGTGATCAAGGACATCCGGTCGCTGGTTTCGCCCAACGACGTTTTGGGTGCTACATGAACAGTGTGTGCACTGAAGTTGCGTGCAACAACATTCAAATCGTCCAGTATGATCGAGTTGCTGTAGCGGCGTCAAATTGGGTTGGGTGACTCCATTTGGTCATGGTTGCTTGTCCCTTGGGTTGCGACACGGAACTCCTGGTTTTAAGCTCAAAAGTAATCTAATTGTTTGTGTGGCTGACAGACAGGTTCTAAAACGGCCATGAAGATGGACTGGCGTGACTGTGCAAGCGTATTGAGGCAATCTTATGACCCGTTGCAAAGATCACAGCTTTTGAGGGCACACAGCCATGATGTGAACCGCCTCCTGGGCGTCAACATGTTTTATTGCAGAATATTCTGTCGTGACCCTTCAGCTGCACCCTCGGAAAGGCCGCTAGTAGTGCGAACGGTACTCGGCTTCCCTCGCTCACCATCCGTACAAGTACACAAATCACCAACGTTGTTTACATGCCCCTGCTTGAACAAAGACGACTACGCGGCATCGCCGCGGAGGGTCAAGATTTCGACGTCGCTCGTCATCATGGGCCGCCAATCACGGTCAATCGACTGCTGGTACTCGGAAAAGAGGAGGTCGTCGGGCATATCAGGCACGTCATCGCCTTGGTCGTTGCACATGTCTTCCTTCCAGGTCATGACGCGGCCTTGGACGACTTTGGGTCCGTTGTAAAACAGGGCTTTGATCCTTGTTTCGGTCGGGCCGATGCGCTCGAGCACATACCTACACCCCATTTATAGACAATTTTCTCCATCAATCGAAAATGTACCAAAACATGCGTGGGCGCCACTGGATGTTCTCTGGCTGGAGCGCGTCTTGGTTGAAATTCCCAAACAAAAACACGATCCGGTTCTCCGTGACAAACTCGCGGCACACGTAGTAGTTGCTCTCGTCCGCTGTCAGCGCCGTGCGCCGGTAGATCATGCGCGGGTCAATCTCACGCACGAGCTACGGAAACGCCCATGTTGCTTCCAAGCGCGTCTGTACATATGCAAAACTATGTAAAATACCTCTTCATCGAGAAATTCCGTCCCGCAGGGGTGGGTATCACCCCGCATTTCTGCCCAGATTTTGTCTTGGAGCGCAGCAAATGTCGCCTCGAGCGAGAGTTGGTTCGTCACTTGGATGCGCCCAATGATATCGGCAAAGCCGTTGCCACGGTCGACGACAACGAGGTCTTGCAGACTGCCCGTCGTCGCGTGAAGCCCCGTCGCCGCCAGCGCGCGGTCCGTGTTGAAATACATGTGCTGCGTAAACCAGTCGAGCCCGAGCTTTCGCGCCTCAACGTCGGCGAGAAGAACCGTCGGTGACGGCAAGTGCCATACCTAAATGCAGTGTGAGCAATTAGACACGCCAACGACGTCAACGTACGACGCCCGGCGACGGCGGCCTGGTCATGGACTCAACCCACGTCGCCATGCGCGCAATGTGCTTACTGAGCTCTTCGCACTTGGTGCGCAGCATCTCGAGCGAGAGGCGGGACTCGACGCGTGGCCTGCGCGAGGCCGGCGGCGACGTC